TTCGCGTGAACCCTGACCTAATAGAGCTTACTACTAATGTTGACGTCCTGTCCTCACACTTTATTGGCAGCGTGCTGGTCTTGTAGTTCCTGTCCTGTTTTGGGCCGATGTAGCAGAGAAGTACCTGACTATTTCGAGAGCCCCGACTCTTCATTTAGATGAAGCAATCCGCCCTCCTTGCCATATTATGTGATCATGCTTCCTACATCAGGCAGCACAGTAGCACTGGACTGGAAAAGGTATTCATGTGGTGGGCTGACATGAAATGTAAACATGCACCTTTATTACTGAACTGATAGAATTACTTCATGTAAGCATATGACTGTGGTCTTAAAGATTCGATGACTAGATGATCAAGGCTATTTTGAAGGGTTTTCTCACTTGGAAGATTGCTTCTCTGTAAGATCAAAGTCAATCAATGCTCAGTAGCGTTAACTATAAAAGAGTTTGAGGAGCAATGGCAATAAAAAAAAAGAAGAAGCTCAAGTTCACAGTCTAATTCGAGTGCTCGTGCTTTGTTCATTCTCAAAAGACACCTACCAGGTTTTTGCTGGCCCTTTTCAAAAAGCTTCCACAGACAGTGTCGTAGATGGTTCTGTAGCTTCTTAGGTTAGCTGTGGGAAAAGCGCCTCAAATCCCTTGTCGGACATTGCTTTCCATCAGACTGCACATCTTAGTGTTATGTCTGAATGAGCCAACACCGTCTCATTCCCAGCTCATCAAGAGCTGGTTCTTGGGCAAGAGCCTGCCTCATCTATTTTCAGTGGAAAGTTTCCCTTTTACCGTTACTTTCCTCAAGAAGCTGCTGCACACGTGAATGTTTTTATACTAAACATAAATGCCTCTTAAACCCATTCTGAGCAAAAACAAAGAAGTTTAGTGTCAAACTTTTTGTGGAGGTGGTGTCAATTCTTCTAGTCTCTGAAGCATCTTAGAGAGAACCAAAACACAGCAGAAACATGTATAGTTCTCAGACAAATCAATATTAAACATCTTCTTTAGAGCATAAAAAAACACAGTGTGGTCTAGACTAAAGACCAAATGGACCATCCAAGAGTTTTATTAGCCACGACTCTGAAAAAAAAAAAACAGGCTCTGTAATGGAATTATATCAATATCCTTGACAATGTTAATTTATACTCCTGTGATTGTGGCATTATTGCAGAATAGGTATTTGAGACTCTAGAGCAACATATGCTGTCCTCCAGATTGAATGTTAAAAGAATGTTCATGCATTTTTAAACATATAAATGTAAAAGCCATAATGTGCATGATCAGAAAAGCATGACTGTGGAACGTGTCATTTTTCCATTTTTTCGGTTCATAGTATCTTTGGTTGGGTATCTTTTAAACTGCTTCCTCATTAAAGTTGCTAAATTACAAACAACAGCATGCTATCCAAAGCATATCAGGAATTATGATTAATTTGTCATTTTATAATAATGCTTAAAATATATAATAACAAATAAGGCTAAACTTTCCTTGGCACCTGCTCCATGGTACCTGTAACACTGGCCATACACCTTTGAACTATCAGCTGCACACAGAGTATCAAGTTAATTACAATCACAGCACAGACAGAGACTACACTAAGATACTTCAATAATGAGGGTTGACATTCACTGTCCATCGTGGTTTCAATAAATGTCTCTTAAAGCAGTCAACTGTAGTTTTCTCTTCTCTAATTGGGCTACTCCCACTACTCTCTAAGGTACCAGCCAACACAGCCCCTCACATTAGGTAAACCAAACATTCTTGAGGCTTGGCTACCTAAGATAATTACAAATAAAAAAACTGAAACTATGACACTCGCAAGCATTTACGACCACTGGTTAGCTGTAATCATTTACAGTTCAACAAAGAGATACAGCAGCAGGTGGGCACCAACCAGGGTACACCTTGAAACCCCTTCTAGAAGCTTAACTCCCGAGATGTTCCTCTCTCTTTTCACAAAGCGTTCTCTTCACTTCCTGGGCGAATACTGGTAATAAGAATCACATGATCTTCATGTATGCATTTGTGGCATGTCCCACACATTCTGTCAAAGATACATCCTAATGGGATGCTTATCTTCACAGCTCCAGGTTCCCGTGTCGAGACTGGCTCATAAACCAACATACCACAAGTGAGTATGCGAGAAAGCAAAGGGATTGGAAGGAGCCGATTCTATTGTTGGCCTTTTTTTGTCCCCATCAGAGGCTGGTGTCCTGCTGTGTGATGGCTCAGTAATGGGGACTGTCATCTAATTGAATCTGCAGTTAGTTTCTCCTCGCTACACAGCCAGGCTGGGGATATGAAATAGCAGCAGCTTCTCCGTATCTGTTCTGAATATGTATGAGCGCAGCATAATCCACGTGAAAAATCTCCATGAAAAGTACTGACTGTCTGTTAAAAGGATTAAAGAGGATAAGCATATTAGCTGTTTCCTTGACACTAATTTAATAAGAAGATGGGCAAGGTAAATAAGCAGTGGTAATTGATTTTTATGTTTAGTGCTCACATGATCTCACTACATGCTGTTTGTGAAAATGTATGATTACAAATGTAATTTGTTTCATGTTAAGATGCAAATATTTGCATTGTGCCTGCCTCGTGCTGCAAAAAAAGAGGACAGCTCACCCTCCACAGACAAGAAATCAAATTACCAGCAAATCTTTTGAGCATCTGCAGCATGTTGTCTCTGCCTCTTTCATGGCTTCCAGGATACAATTATGGAGAGGAGAGATATAAACTGTTCAAAGCGGGGTTGGTTATTATATTTTTGCACTTTATGAGCTCATTGAGCATATATATATATATATATAGAGGTACAACAACGGTGGATGAGGAAGTATGGGCGTAGGGCATCAGAAATGCCTGGACAGACTGCCTGTCGATCACAGGGTAAACGTAGAGCAAAATAACAACGCAAGCATACACTCAACCCCTTAACAAAATTACCAGTGAGCACAACATACCTGGAAGAGGAAAATGCAGACTGTCTTGCTTTGAATCGACGGAGTAGCCCCTCACAACTCTGTACCTCCATTTGTTAGGCAGTAATCAACATCAAATAGAAGTAAGAGTGTTTAATCTGTGGATAGCTTAATTTTCTTTTGTGCAAAAAAAAAGATTGCAATAGGAACAGCAATGGAATGTAGGTGGTAAAGCTGAAGATACGTTTTTGCATTATACATCTGTACAATGTTGTACAAACTGTCCAGAATATTCTTAGATTGGCTAATGGGTATGAAATGAATTTTAAAAAAAGATTACTATTACTGTAACTAAACCAGTCAGATAAATGTTGGTGTAGCGTATTGCTGAAGTGACATCTGCCTCGTTTTTTTTGTGTCAGTAATGTGAAGACAGACTGAAATGTGGCAAGAAACAGAGCAGGGTAGTCCAGTGTACCACAAACAGAAAAGCACTGCTGTGATGATTACACTCTTATAATGAGATAAATGCCACGCAGCCTGATAGAGTCTATATAAACTCAGTGGGCTCTTCTCTATTATGGGACCATAAATCTGTGTGGTCAAATGAATGTGCAGCTGCCGTGCACGAGCGTGCGCGCCCGCGTTCAGTTCCGTGTGCGTGAAAGTGCGCGAGTGATCGAGGGAATCCTCCGACTAAAAAGTTTGGGGAGCCTTCCTCCTGTCCACACTCATCATCATCGTCCCTTCCTCCCCCCCCCCATCATCGCACTGTTTTCCCAGATTTATTCACGTGCAGCTCGCGCCCGCCTCACTCAGACATTCTGTCGCCAGCGCCGTGACGTCACCTGCACCAGGAGCCTCCTCCGTTCCGAAGTTTCCCTCCGCCTGTTTGAAAGATAATCTAGTCCCTCTCACCCCGGCCAATCTGAACTTGAGCGAGCACTGGTAAAATTCAGAAAAGTGCTATTAATGTGTTTTTTTTTGGGGAATTCAAAAACGAGTGGACGGTCATTCCGCAACTCCATATTTTTGGAGTGATTTAAATAGACCATAAAGTGCGCTCATTATTAAAGACTATGTCTATTATGACCCATGGAATATTCACTCTGCAAAACACCTTTTTTTATACATTGAATAGCACGTTCAGAGTATTTCCTGTGTAGCTCTAAACATGATCTGGGTCTTCCGTGTGTTTGTTTTCACGACATTTCATTCTCAGGAACAAGTGACAAGACGTTATCAAAGTCACTATTCGAAGATATTTTATGTCAAGTTTATGTTCTTATATTCACACACATTATTCAAATAACAAAAAACAATGTTTCTGAGAATAGTTGAAAAAACGTGTCAATCTCCCACTGATCACGTAGGATGTGAGAATTTGCCATAGTGGCATGCATAACTGCGTTTATCTGCTCTCTGCTCTATCCATCCATTCATTTTCTAAAGCATGCTTATTCCAAAAAGTGGGGTAGCGGGGGGCTGGAGCTGATGCCAGTATTCCATGGGTGAGAGGCAGGGTACACCCAGTCCATCACATATCGCATCTCATATTATGGCCATAAATGTGAGTTGGAAGTTGGTAGTGAAATGTGTTTTCGTGTGTCTCTTGTAACATTTACCCAATTCAGTTTTAGAAAACTTTACTAAACCTAAATGTTTTAAGATGAATCCGACCCTCAGTTCAGATAGTCTAAAAATAAAACAGGGATTTTAGCATTTCAGTTTCAGTTGATGTGTAAGTATGCGATTATAACCATTTTACAACAAAGTTCTGGGTGTCTCATCTGTGTCCCCCCTCTAAACTTCATCACATGCAACATTCTCAACCCCTTTTAAACTTTATTCGCTGCCACAAACTCTCACATTGGAAAAATGAGCCGTGCCCTGGCGAAATCCTGTCGGTAAACAACGAGAGAGGGCCATTGCTCCCCAATTGCATAACGCCTCCCTTTCTGCGCGGTGAATGAAGATGTCGGAGGTGTAAAAAGTAGGTCTTCCTGTTGTCTGGGTCCTGCATCCCGCGGCGTGATACTGGCGCTGAGCGGAGGGTGAGGCGGCTCCGCGACTCACTGACGCCAGGTCAAGCAGACCCAGCTCAGGCAGAGCGAGCACGCAGGAGGGGCCGCTCACACACTCTGAGAGGGGAGCTACGGAACCAGGAAAGGTACTGTAAACTTTTCTTACCTTTTAAACTTCGTAAATTAAAAAGTCAACTCGTCTGAATTTTACGTCTGTGCTCTGTAGAGCGAGGAAGTACATCCCAACGGTTAGTAGTTCAGCGGTGTGACAGTTGGAAAGCTTCAAACTTTTTTCTTCCTTTTACTCTCTGTGTCAGAATGCAGATTTAGATATTGGGGCTTCTGCTATAAGCTTGTTATCACGGGAACAAAAACCCTGTAAATGATGGTACCTTGGTTGTCTTTTATAAAACTCAAATAGTAATGTGTGCCTCTTGAAGCTGGACATAGTTAATTACCCTCAAATCTCTTTTAGACCAGCATCAGTAAAAGCTCTCACTTAAATGTTCAGCTTCGAATAAAGACCACTTTGTTCTAATAAAACACATTCTTAGAAGGCATTGAACTCATAAGAGTTACACATAGCTGAATGGGTGATTTGTATCTGTGTTAATCAGTTATCTTATCTGTAAAGTCTTAAAAAGTGAAAAATTGCCTCCACCAGCCGAGATGATCTCTTCCAAATTGCTAGATGCTTTTGACTCTATATATTCAGTTGATATTGCTTTGTTGCAGAAAAGCTGCACATCCAGCACATCCTCATGCAATGAGAATAGACTATGAAAATTATGAGCATTTTCCATAATGGATGAGTGGAGTGCCATGATTGAACATTTGCTCAACAAGTAACCAAACCCAGTGTTGCCCAGTGTGTTCAGGCATGGACAGATATGTCACCATAAAGCATTGTAGGTTGAGGAGTATATCTTCTCAAACACTGCAGTTATCTCCATACTTTATGAGCGCATTTCAATCCTGGCATCGAAATGGGAGCAAATCCATCCAATTCAGTTTGGGAATATCTAAACAAAGATAAAAAAATATTAGATCAGCCCTGACAAATAAGGTATATAAAGACAATGGAAAACCTTATGGGAATAAACAAAGGAATAAAAAAGTAACAATCAGTAATCAAGAGAGAAAACACAGTTCAAACCTATGCTCAAGCTCACACATTTATAAAATTTCATATAATACCATCAAACAATCGAGTAGTGTTTAACTGATAGTACAGTGTTCCCTTCAAATATTCCACCACCTTGGTGGTAGAATGAATGTGCAGCGCACTTCGGTGTGGACTTGCTCTGGCTTTTTCAGCATCTGCATTTGAGTGTTGCACGTGTTTATTTATGCTCATTTGTTTGTGAAATTGTGTTTGTGCAAAAAGAAGAAGACGACGGGGAGACTGAGTGAAAGACTCCCAGCAAGCTGGAGCTAAGGCTACATCTCCTGACATTATTGAGGATGACATATCAGATTACGTAAAGGACAGGAATTTGTCCTTGTTCGTGGTACAGTTCCAATTGTATTACTTTTCAGTGTTCTCAAGCACGGTTTGCAAATGAAACATGCTCGTGTTTTAGTATATTTGCCTTAAATGGGGTGAGGCGGCTTGTATGTTAAAACAGATGGAACGGTGAGATGCTACTGTCTGATTTCCTCTATTTTTACATAAAGGAAAAAGAAGTTGCGTTTCGCCTTGGCATACCTTATTCAAACATTGCATTGCTGAAAATGTCTTATCTGTGTGACATCAGTCAGCGGAGTTTCAGAAAACAGCTAAAAAACAGGTATAATATAGGTAAATTCCGTCTTTAGTGAAATAAAAAAGAAAACTGTTAATCAGTTAATTTCATTTTAAAATGTAACCATAATTTGTAGGTCTCCTGCGTGTTTGCAGGATCTGGGTAACATATGCAGAATGTGACGGCTGAGGTGTCCACCCTAACACAACAAAAACCCAACACTGAGTGCCAGGCATGTTTGGAATGGCTGCTTGCAAACCCATGTGTTTTCTAGCTGTGTCTGCTGGGTGGTTGCGTGCATGCTGCTCTGTCTGGTACATCCAAAATCTGATTCCAGTTCAGCTCCAAGATGTCTGCTCAACACTGCAGACCGTTTAGTGGTTTTCTGGCATTTTGAGTGACGCAATCGCTTGATTTCATTCACTTTTGTTGTAACAGGTTTCATTATATGAGGGACAGTGACCCCAGTCGCTTAAAGGATCCTCCCGGGTCAATGCCATGTCTAGTCAGTGAGGGTAACACCTCATGCCTGTCTGTGGTTACTTTTAAGCTACGCCTGTATACTATTCTATTGACTGGGCAGGCTATTCGACCACCATGCTTTTGCTTTTTGGAACAGCCTGGAGTATACATTGTCATGCTTACTAGTTATGATGGTTTAAATGTAAATACTTTTTTTTATGTTTCTCATGGCATGGCATGAGAAACAGGGTTTTGAGCAGCCTTGTGCATACCGGAGCAATGACGTAGTTAGTATTTTCAGTTTATCAGATGAGACATTTAGGTTACAGATGACAAGATCACGTTAAACATGTTATCACTGATCGGTTCACATTTTTCAAAGCGACACCTTTCAAACTACACTTTGACCAAGTCAGATCAAAGTTCAAGCGTGTTCAGTTTGCAGCATTATGAAAGGGAGACTTCAATGAGAGGTTATCTGGCATTTATCCTTCATGAGTAACTTCAAGATTTGATTAAAATGGTTTGTTGTTTTCATCTTGTCACATACATAGAACTTTTGTGCTGATTTCCTCATTATATCATGATCTGGATCTAGATTTACAGTATTGCTCCTGGCTTACAATCCTTTTACTCTGGCAGAGACCACATCTGCTGATGTGCCATTTACATTACCGCATATTACAGCTAAATTCTTACAGTCTGCATTTGAGAAAAACAAATAAGCTCACGCTGTCACTGTTGGCGTTATGACCCCTGCATGCACTGAATCTTGAAACATTGTCTGAGGAGACACAAGTGAACTCAAGCTCTTTTTCTGAAAAGCACCCTGTTTGTCTTTGATCCCTGGCTCCACCATCACTCTCACTTTCTTCTCTCTTTCTGTCTCTACATCATTCCCCCTTTCCTCCTCTCCCTCTTTATCTGTCACCCTCTCTCTTCCTGCACTCCTCTGTTTATAGCCAGTGACTCCATTGAGCGGGGGTTAATGGAGGCCCCATCTAGGACCCCGCTGATAAATAATGTAGCTTCTTCATAATGCCCTATCTCTGGGGAGGGTCTAGAGAGCATCATTACTGCCTCCTCATCCTACACAGCCCTGGCTTAAATTGATTAACAGACACTGGAGCAGTGCAAAATGATCCATGTGGCTAGTGTAGTGGCTAACAGCTCGCACCAGGTGGGTCAAAGCCCTCGCCTGTCAGTGTCGCATGATCCCACTCTCTGCTCCCATTAGCTTAAGTCTGTGTCCAGTCGGCCAACTGATGACCATAACAAGCTACCACTAACTCAATAGTGAGAAAGCAGTGCCTGGACTCGGCTGTGGGGAATGTCAGAAGGGATTTTATGGAGCTGTTGTGTAAATGATGGTGTGTGTTTCAGTTTTTATTAGGAAGAGAGCTGCTCCAAGGCCACTGCAGACATCTGTGTGAGTCTTTGTTGCATACAACAGATGTGAGCGAATAGAGCCCAAAGTTTGAAGGCTATATATAGAAATCCAATGCTTATTAAGCAAATGCAGCTAATCGGTTTGAAAAACGAAAGGAATTAGAAGCACTACATTGGGCTCCAAAATAAGTTGATCAGCTACCTAATTACTCAGAAAGCAGTTGATAAGTTGGCAATAGGACCGTTAATAAAATGGTAAATTAATGTGATGATTTGCTGGAAAAGACAAATAAACTATTCCTAGAGCTCTTCAAGTTTATCATATAGATTGAAGACCTGAATAATCTGGAGATTCATTGACATATTGTTACTGGTAAGGCTGTGTATCTACATGTGAGGATGCTCTTTTGTCTGTTCTGCAATACTATAAACAAAAGACAAAAGTGACTCTTAGCTTCAATTGTTTTATAAAGAAAAAAACAAACATTCAAAGTTATCACAAATACTCACATTTCTAAGTGAACGAATATACTAACATTGCTTTTACAGACTGATGGATGGAGAATGATCTAAAGCTGCAGAAATGAATAGTTATTCAAACTGGAAATTATATTTTTTTCAAGCCAGAAGTTTCTTTCTTAGAATCCCACTTTCTTTTAGGAGAGAATTAAATGTGTGATTGTGACAGAATATTGAAATACATCAGGCTACCCTTCCTGCGTATTGAATATATTTTATACATTAGCACTACATCTAGAAAGTTGTGACAAAGATATTATTGTTCACACATCGACTTCCCGGCCGGAAATATTTCCACTGAAGATGGGTGTTCACAACAGAAAATTATCTTGATGTTTTCTGATCATTACGTTTGTGCTGAACCTTGAATCATAACAATTCAAAAATGAACTCTGTCTGATGGAAATTTGCTGTCATCAACTTCGAGTAAAAGTACTCAACTATCTTACAAAGTAACGTCTGGAAGTGCCAACCTGAAACACAAATTCTGTTTGCGGTGGAATCGGCCATGATATTGTTCAGAAAGTTGTTTGACAAAAAGACTGTTGTGTGATGCTGACAGCTTAGTCTATAGTTAGATGTAGGAAAAGTAAGGCAAACTGGCGCCTTTATATTTTGTCTACCTCAAAGACAACTCCAAACCAGCATTGTCCCAAGAGGTACTACTGTGCCATATCAAGCACTTCAAATAAGCATGTGGTCAGAGAAGGAGTCAGATATGATTGACTGTCAGGGTTGGAAACACCCCAAAGGCATGGCCTCCAGCTGCAGCTGAATCCTAGCACAATTGTTAAGTCTACACCAGATGTTAGATAGAGAACTTTCAGGAATCCGCCATATGAAATGGGTTAAAGTTTGTTTTTGTGTAGCTATTATTGAATCATGCTGATAATGCCGGCTGTTACAGAGAAGTCTTCATAACAGCTCTGGTGCTGAATGTAGATGGCATTGACTTGTTACGTGTCAGGGTGCGGACCCTCTCTCAAATGTAATGTTACCATCTTTTTCACTTGAATTGTTTACAGTTAAAATTGTTTACATGTACTTCACATTTGAAGAGCACGTCTTCTCTGTGTGAAGAAGTGTTGACTGAGTCGGTGGTTTCAGCAGACACTAACAAGGCCACAAAGTAGAGATAAAGCTAGCTTTCTTACCACTTCACAATGGCCTTACACACTGTTGTAATCATGTTAAAATGAAGCAAATCCATCAATTACGATATAACAAAACATAGCCAGCATCATCTTGTTTATTTTTGGGGCCAAGAGAAATGTATCATGGTGCCAGGATCCAAAAATGGGACGTACTAAAAATAGAGAAGTCTGGTCATACTGACAGTCTTGTTTACTGAGTGTTTGATGAATAATTCTTTGATTTGCATTTAGCTTGTTTATCTAACCGCTACAACAGAGAAAATAGCTTTCTCTTTGTGTCGTTTGGGAAATGGTTCCAATGAATCTCAGGGACATTATTGTCCATCCATATGGATGGACTCTTATTTGTGAAGCCCGGGGTCAGTTTTTTAAATTTTTACTAAAAAAGGATCCTAGTGTAGTTTTATCTTTTGGTGTCCCCTTTAGGTCCAAACGGTACATGGTCTCTTCAAATATTCCGAGCCGTTTGCCAGTATGATGTACCTTACACATGCAGCAGTTGGCAAAGATAGAAACTGCTCTTCATCCCATAATCTGCAGGGCCAGGAATAACTACAGACCAGTCTTAATGATCAATCTGTTCCTGCTCCTATGAAATCCAATATACTGCAGGCTTTACTGTCAGAGGGTGATGCATCGTCATCCACGAGTCCAAATGGATAAATGCTAGCAAATTTCTGACAGGCTGTTTATTTGATTCAGGGATCTAAGCTGAACATTTGTCCACAGCCAAACCTCAACTAGATTTTATCTCTCTAAATTTTACTCAGGCAAATTTTGAAAAAGAAGGTGGAACAGAAAGCTCAATGTGTTTTTGTGTTCCCTCTTTAACAGCTAGAACGCTCGTACCTTCTGGGTACTTAATTGCTCCTGGGGGACTTAAGTTGAATGGGCACATTTATCCTAGGGCACACATGGACTTCCTTTTAATTGTCCCGCACGTTGGCAGATTCCTGCCCAAAATCAGTGTTCCTTGGTCAGTGACAGAGATTTCTAAACATTGAGTTCCGATGTCAGTAAGTATTTGACTTTCTGTGTGTTTCTGGAGGATGTTCAGGTTGCATACTGCATGTGAAGTCCTTTGCTGTAAAGTAATTGGTGGTAATGTGACAAGCCATACAGACAGGAAGCTATCTGAAGAATGTCTGGTTGGGGCTGATGTTCACGGGAGGGTGTCTGGGGCGACCGTCCTGCCAGTTTCTCAGAAACCACGAGTGATATGATCATAGCAGCTGTAGTGGTGACATAAGCATTCTGGTCTTCAACAACTGCATCCGACATCGATGATGCTGATGCCGGAAAAGAGGAGAATGGGATGGTTTCTGGTTTCTGCAATTTTGCACAATAACGCCTACAGGCCGCAGCACTTATCTTTTGATGGGAGATTTTAACTGTCTGTCTTTCCTTTTTGTTCCAGGGACTTTCGAAAGGACCCAATCTTACACCTTTGAATCTGTGAGGAAAGAAACACCTTAAACATTGAAATAGTACTGAATCCTTTTTCCTCTGGGACTGGAGAGTCTCCCACTACCTCTCACGCTTCCCTCATAAGAGTGGACGAGGACCGTTTGTCCATCATGAATGTCACTTCGCTCTTCTCTTTCACCAGCCCCGCAGTCAAACGGCTGCTGGGTTGGAAGCAGGGAGATGAGGAAGAGAAATGGGCAGAGAAGGCTGTGGATGCTCTTGTTAAAAAACTCAAAAAGAAAAAGGGAGCCATGGAGGAGCTGGAGCGGGCTCTCAGCTGCCCTGGTCAGCCTAGTAACTGTGTGACAATCCCTCGCTCGCTGGATGGACGGCTACAGGTGTCCCACAGGAAAGGTCTACCACATGTCATTTACTGTCGGGTGTGGCGCTGGCCTGACCTCCAGTCCCACCATGAGCTGAAGGCACTGGAATGCTGCGAGTATCCCTTTGGCTCCAAGCAGAAAGATGTGTGTATCAACCCCTACCACTACAAACGAGTGGACAGTCCAGGTGAGGGATATCATGTTTAAGTCAATCAGACGTGTGTTTGTTACCAGGCGTTAAGTCAGTTTGACTTTCTAACAATTTAGCCTTCCTTCCATCGGATAATTTCACAAGCTACTTCATGTAATGTTCTCTTTAATGAAATCAAGTGGGTTTTGTCCATCATTTATTATTTTAAATAACGAAAGAAAAAAAATACACATTGTTTTTATTAGGTGGTATATTAAGGAGTAAGATTAATCAGAATCTATATGCCCTCATAGTTAAGAGTAAACTTGGGTCAGCTGACAAGATAAAAAAGCTGTGTCCACCGTGGTGAGCTTGTGGCTGAGTGTGTGTTCTTTCATGTGTGTATGAAGCAGGAAATTCCATTTAGGGGAGAACGAGGGCTTTGTTTTGGGCATGCCCCGTACTGTAGGCCGTTCTTTTCCTTTTTTTATTACACACATGTTAACCACAGGCACAGACACTCACACTTGCACACATTTGATGAAAACATACTCTATTACACACACATCCAAAGCCTGTGCAGGCACAGTTTCTATAAGGATGACTGGAACAGGAAGACCCACACACAATAGGAGGAAAGAGTTGTTGCCTGCCTCGCACACGCTTTGTTTTAGCAGCGAGTGGATGACACAGGGCGAAGGTGATTCAACCCCTGAGCACCTGTCTTTCCACACAAGTTTCCCCATCCCCACACACACAGTCTATTTTTCTAACTTCAACACCACCCAGCTACACACACACACACATCCTGTCAATCTCCCCTCACTATTCTACACAACGCCACAGCTGTCCGCCTGCTCCACATTTAACCTCTGAAATAAGTTGTTAGATTGATGTATTAGACTGTTGTAGCACACATGGGCTACCTTTGTGAACACTGAGAGCAGCGCAAGCCTCTTCTAAAATTTCAACACCAGCTTTATTTATCTGCACAGGTATTTATAGACACAAGTGGAGCATATCACTGTGGTTTATACTGCACCTGAATAGCCCTCAGCCAGAATATTTACCCCAAGTGATGAATTCCAAAAGAACTGCTTGCCTTAAAACGTCTCTCAGAGCAGAAAACTGAGAATCTGAGCCAAATACTGCTGGCTAAGCCCAACTGCCAACTGGCTGGAAGCTGACATTTGAAAAATGCAGCAACATCTGTGCACAGACTGTGGAGTCATGAAGAGTGCCAGAAAGGTTTTTTATCATGGTGGATTTAGATAACCTTATAATTGACTTTATTATTGCAACTGTTTTTGCCTGTATGCGATTACACATGATGTCTCAAGAGCTAAGAAAGCTTGTTAATCACAAAGCAGAAATAGATGATGTTTCAATCCAAGACTCAGTTATGAGGTTTTAGATTAAACTTTGGAGGTCGAACATCTCAGACTTTTAATAATGTTCTTTTCCCACAGAAAGCCTTGATTTTTTTAGGGAGGACTGTTCTACCATGTAGAGGATAACACGTTGTATAATAGAATACGTTATTCACAATTTAAGGCTGATCAGTGTAGCAGAGAAAAATGCTGTAATACTTTCAGCAACTTCATGTCCTTAAACTTACCAAAAAAATGTTTTTACCATATCTTGTCACTTAGCTGATAATTTACCTTTTCTGAATGGGTCAAAAACACATAAAAATAAAGTCCGAGATTCTCTACTATACACGAGCCCTGTCTGAGACACTGAACTCTGTGAAGAAAATTAAAATATGAGCGACTCAGGAAATTTGGCCTGTCGAGTTGATTATGAGTAATTGTTTTTGCTGCAGCTCTTTGCAAATTCGTCAATCACTTATCTAAACAAAATCTTACAACACATCACGCACAAAGTCGCCTTGTTAAAGAGAAGTACTTTTCAAGTCACCTTTGTTCTCAGCATATTTACTTTTAAAATTGAAAGATGTTTAGCAATGAAGCCAAATTTGTGGAGAGAAAACAAACAAAAAGCTGAGAACTTTTTTAACCTAGAATGTGGTCATATAGAAAGAAAAAAAGTCACCAGTATTCATTGAAGTTTCTTGGATATGAGTAAGCAACAACTTGGTTTGACATCTTTGACGAATTATAAATTACAATGTTATCCTGCTTTTTACATTCAGATAAAACCATAAAACACATTAATTAAATTATTCATGCTAAAACATTTTGGGTGTTGATGGACTGCTTTTACAGAAGAAAAAAAACTTCTATACGTATCAGATTTTTTATTACACCAATAGAAAAAATTAATAAAACAGAAGCACTGAAAAAAATTAGAACTGGTGCAAAGAGTACAGTAAGTCCAGATAACCTCATGTTTTGAATATTCAAATCCTGTCTCTCTTTATCAGAGCACTAGAGCTGGCTGGGAAAAAGGAAGGCAGAATACATGGCTTCAACCTCTGTCACCTTTCTGTTTAGTTAACTAACAGGCAGAGCACAGTTTTAACTCCTTATATTTAATGATTTTGACTTCTGCCCTTTTCAGTGCTGCCTCCTGTTTTGGTACCGAGGAACAGCGAGTTCAATGCCAAGCATACAATGCTGCCCCGGTTCCGCAACCCTCTGCAACAGAATGAGCCACACATGCCTCAGAATGCCACCTTTCCAGAGTCCTTTGCTCAGGCCAACACGGTTCCTTTCCCTCATTCACCTGGAAATAGCTTCCCAAACTCACCCGGAAGTGGCAGCAGTGCCACTTTCCCTCATTCGCCGACAAGCTCCGACCCCGGAAGTCCATTCCAGATGCCAGGTACAACCCTTTTGTGCCTTAAATGTTTCTGTTTGATCCACACTAAACTGCAACCCCTTGAACTTTTAGTATCCTTGTGTCCTGATCCAGAGACGCCCCCTCCTGCCTACATGCCTCCAGAAGAGCAGATGACTCAGGACTGCCCCCAGCCAATGGACACCAACCTCTTGGCTCCACCCTTGCCCCTAGAGAGTAACAACCGGCCAGGTAACAATGGCAGTTTTGATGTCCCCTGCACGCACAATTGGGTGTTCAGAGATGATCTTGTTCAGTGTCGATGTGTGTATACTCACACTAAGCTGTGTCCCCACGTGCATCGCTGCAGTTCAGAGAGGAGGGAGAGGAGGGGAGGATCTGGGGATGCTTCTTCTGAAATGTGTTCTTTAGTGCAGCCTGGAAAAGTGTTACATTCAAACTCTTATGGAAATGACAAAAAGCTTAGCAGACTCACACTGATTGTGGCATGAGAGATCAGATCTAAATATGCCATCTGAGTACGTTTTCACCTTTATTTAGTGTCATCCATTTGTGATCCTGTCATCCAGGACACATCACCAGGTCTGACGAGCCCTATTCTCACAAACATGTCCTTGCAAAAGTAGATGCAGCTGTCTGCACCTACTTACATGTGTATGTTTGGCAGATAAGTCTGTGGTCTGCTAGTGGACAGTGAGACTTTGTCTGTGGGTGAAGCTCAGGGGAACCTTAGCCGTGCCAAACTCAGCCAGGCCTCTGAGCAGCTTTATGAGGCCTGTAAAAACTGGGGCTTATGTCATCTCTTCGTGTGGTAATGACTTGAAACTCGTTAAAGATAGCATTCACTAATTACCTCCAATTTTAAAATCTGACATGTGGTGTAATGATTGCTGCTATCGCAGCCTTGTGGTTTTCATTTTATGGTGCAGGATAGGCACATTTGAGCGGTGTACTGATGAATGCAAATGACTGTCAGAAGTATGTGTAGGATTTACAATCACCTGATTCAGAGGAAAGCGCTTCAGATTTTGGGGTTAGAAGTCAGAATTTCTGTCGGTAATATTTATTTTTCATCAAATTAAGTGCAAAGATAAAATAGGTCTGGTGGAACAAGACAGACGTAATCAGATTGTCACAGGTAGTACACAAACCATCAGGCTAACCAAACTTTTTTTTTTTTTAAATATAAAAGATCCAATACAATCTGCGATGGACACAGGTTTCTGTTATCATCTGTCATTCATCTTAGGATCTTCACGAAGAACTGGACTTGTCATGTTTGAAATCAATATTCGCATATTTTCCTGAAGAATTGTGCGTTTGTTCACAGCTAACAACATCAGCACATAATGAGGGACAGTATTTGGACTTTGATCTGAGCTTTTGTCTCCACACAACCCACAAGGTGTTTACCCTTTGTGTCATTATTGCACCCAGGGCCTGGATTCCGTCCTCATCTCGTGATAGCAGTAGCAAAAAGAGGTGTTGAAAGTTTTGTTAGCTGGAAGTGGGAGTTGAGGGGGGTTTCTTTTCCACAAGCTGCATCCTGTACAGGGGCGAAGGTTTCTATTGTAGGCCAGTTCTGGGAAGGGAACAGACAAAACACACCTGTCAGCCAGTGCCACGCTACAGAGGAAGTTTGGGAGAGGTATGTGCCTAGATAAACATGATTTATTCCTCCTTCCAAAGGGTGAGGCTAGCTTAGAATGGTTGGAAACGGCAACGGGCGGCACACAGACTTCAGGAGACCTGCTCGCCTTCATTTTGATTAGCCTACATATTCAGATATTGAACCACTGGGTCCTATATGTTGACCATTTTATGCTACATGGGACCTTACAGATGGCATCACTTTGTGGATTTGCAGCCATCTGAAGCTCCCGCCGGTTTGTCCGAGCCGAGTCCTGAATCTGCTTTGAATTTGTTTTGCTGATTTGAGTGTGTGCTTTTACAGTATGGCCTCCTCAGTCCTGTGATCTGTGTGTTTCCTTTGCAGATGTGCAGCCTGTTGCCTATGAGGAACCCAAGCACTGGTGCTCCATTGTGTACTATGAGCTCAACAATCGGGTTGGTGAAGCCTTCCAGGCTTCTTCCACGAGTGTGCTGGTCGATGGATTCACAGATCCCTCCAACAACCGCAACCGATTCTGTCTCGGCCTGCTCTCCAACGTCAACCGCAACTCGACTATTGAGAACACCCGGCGGCACATCGGCAAAGGTCCAGCAGTAAAGACAGTTTGTCATTGACTGTAATTCGCAGACTGCTAGGAGATGAGACTCAATCAATTAGAGTATTTTTAGCAGAGACCCAAGTGGATCAAAACAATAACAACCTATTGACGGTTTCTCATGCTGCTGTTTTAGGCCTGCAGGCAGTCTGACTAACTGAGTTCTCTCCTGATAGGTGTACATTTGTACTACGTCGGAGGGGAGGTGTACGCAGAATGTCTGAGTGACAGCAGTATTTTCGTCCAGAGTCGTAACTGTAACTACCACCACGGCTTCCATCCAACAACCGTCTGTAAGATTCCCAGTAGATGTAGCCTGAAGATTTTCAACAATCAGGAGTTTGCTGAATTGTTGGCCCAGTCTGTCAACCACGGATTTGAAGCTGTTTATGAGCTCACCAAGATGTGCACCATCCGCATGAGCTTTGTTAAGGTAATGCATTATTGTTTTATTAGAATTTTTTTTTAAATAAAAGAGCAGGGTTGCAAATATGTTTCAATAATGACAACCAGTATTTTGGATTTTTTTTCTTATCTTTACAAACACTGTCAGTTAAAATGGTTTCTTCACTTTGCAAATGGAGTTTGTGACTTTTGTCCTCCCTCTGTGAGGAATTCCTTTTCTCTTCAGAAAAAGATTTAGCTGTTTGAATGACAAACAAAAGACTCTTTTTATGTCCAGTATTTAACTCCTAAACAAGCAGTTCCCACTTAAGATCCAACTTTGAGATGACAGAAAAAGACCATAAACAGAAGCCGATACAGTCTTACAGATTCAATGTTTTCCTGCATTTCAGGGCTGGGGAGCCGAATACCACCGCCAAGATGTGACCAGCACGCCCTGCTGGATTGAGATTCACCTGCACGGTCCACTGCAGTGGCTGGATAAGGTTCTAACCCAGATGGGCTCCCCCCACAACCCTATATCTTCTGTGTCCTAGGTCACTGTCCCCAGGCCTCACTGTCCTCTGCCCCGTGGCTGTCCATACCCCAGCGTTTTGGTCTAAGTAGCAAGAATAGCAGCCAGTTGGTCCCAGACTAATTTGTGGTTTAGTCAGCTGTCCTCAACCGATGGAGTTTTTGACTGAGACACCAAGTGATCTGAGCGCTTTAAGGGTGGTCAGATAGTTATAGGGGCAGGTTTGTTCTCTACTTGAAGGACGTCTGATTTGGGCACATAAACAGACTGGGAGAGGAGAAAGCCAAGTGAGCGTGATGCAGCTGGAAGATACTTGATCTTTGTGACCAACTGTAATAATTAGATCACACTCACCATGAGTTTCTTCTCTGATCCTGCTCCCACAAGTTTCCCCCCTCATTGTTCTATTATTCTTACTCTTGACTAGTTTGTATCTAAATATTCCCTCTGACATCCACTTGTACTTGTGTAGTTACAATAATTTTGGGACATTCCAGATCATCAACATTGCAGTTGGGATGAAATGTGTCAATCAACAAGATTGGTAGACACTTGAAGAATGACCAGCATGACAGGAAATGTTGGTCATCTTCAGACATTTGAAGAAGAACTTCTAAAAAATAATGACTGAATTTGAAAAAGTAAACAAAGTGTCATGGCATGAAAAATCCCTGATCAGAAATCATGAATATGAACCCAGGGGCAAATTGGGGACGTGAAAGTGTAAAGTGTAAGGGTTAGTGTGGGGCATGGGACTAAAAGGGCATTTCAGGTAGAGAAGACAAAAGCTTCAGTGATGCTCATCTTACATTGCATTTTTGTTTCAAATGAATTCAGAGAACAAAACGACTAGTGTCGTGATATATTCACTATTAGAACATGTGCTGTGCAGTCCGTTTTTGCAAAGCATAGTTTGGTTAGTGTAGTAGCATTCAGGGTCGGTAGGTTTAACATGACTCAAAGTCGAGGCAGATACAGTGATGTCGGGCTCGTCCCTTTCTGCGCCCCCCAAAGCAGAATCACACGTCAGATATGGTGTTGCTGTGGATGTACGCCGTTTTTCAAAAGTTTCAGAATGATGCCATGATTCCACTTCTTACTGTTACATCTCCACCTACTCTGATAAGGTATTAATGTACTGAGAAACTTAATGATGCAGAGATACTAATGCATATTTTTATTTTTATTCATTCATTTTTTTAGAGAAAAAAAAAACTGGACCTGAATCTTCTATCCTTGTTTTAAAGCCTCAGTTTGCTACATCAGTAATGGCCTTCTGGCAGAGAAAATAACTAGAGAAACATGTGAACAGGTTTGTCATTGGCTCCTGTGACTTTGTACTTCAGACTGTAACTGATCCTCTGAATGATAAAGGGGATTTTAATTTTTTTATCTAAAGCATCAGAAACTTTCCTTGGTTGCTTCTCAGGTTTTCTCAGTGTACAGTTCTACTCCTTAGTGTACAGTATTGTCTAATAATGCATCTAAATGGCAGAAAGTAAAACTAAAAACTACTTTAGAGAAGCCTCTGAATAAGATGCACATGGGGCACGATGCAAAAGGTTCTCCCAGGAGACAGCCTTGTTTATTTGAAAGCTTGTTCAGAGGTTCAATGCCTATCCCTAATAATGACGTTTTGTTTAGTTTATATCAAGTATATTATCAAGTATGCAGAGTAGCAAAAAGTGTCAACAATGAATTTGAAGACAACATGTAGGTCAACTGAAAAGAGAGTAAAGCAGCAGCTCTGTTGTAGTTACACATGGAGTGGAGAGTTAGTACCCGCTAGCTGGTTGGATAACCTCAGCAAACACTGTGTGAATACATCTGGCCCCTCCAGTAAATGTTGAAAAAAGTATTGGTGCATGTAAGGAAATGTTTTCATTCATTTAAAAAAAAAAAAGGAACTGGGAGCAATAGTTTGCTAGTTGAGGGCCTAATTTAGCTCCATTGGTGCAAGAAAACCGAAAGGGAATTTATTTCTTTTTCCCTCAAAAAGGCATAATAAACATATTTACACAAATGTTCATTTTCCTGTATGACACAAAAGTTGTTTTTTGTTTCTAAATTTAAAATATTTCATCAAAACCTGGAAAAAATGGGGTTATTCTAAAACTTTTGTGAGATAGTGTAAATATTTTAGTGATTCGTTCTCTTATTACAGTGACTGAGCAAAACTTATTGAAATGACTTTTAAGGGAAAATGTTGAGCATTCAAATTGTATGTGTTTACTGAGAAAAGTGTCAGTTACTGATGTCCTAATTGTTTTGTTTGTTGTTTGTTGTTTTTTTTTTTACAAAATGCATATTTTGACTTTTACTTCTTTATTTCTTTGTGCAGTCTTCTTTGCAACTGAACTGTTATACTCATTACATTCTTTTTTTTTTTGTATTTTTCAACATGTTCTTGGTTTTGTTTGCACTTGCACATTTTGCCTTCCTGCTTCTTTTTCTTTTTGCCTTATTTTTTCCCCCGTCTTGCTCAGTAAAACTCCCAGAAAAGCAGTTTGATTCCATGAATATCAAGTCTCTACTGGAAGATTGAATAAAATTGTTTCAATAATTGCGACACCTCACTCTCTTCTGTGATCATTGCCTTGACACGTTTGCCTTCATGCGTCCGTTGAGGCGGCCCGTACTCGGATGATGCCGTTTGTGTACAGCTGAGACTTCCAAAACCATCAACAACTCTGTGTGTGTTGTTACTTTTAAAAAGGTCTTGTGGGGACATGAATATGTGTAAACGGTCAGTGAAGGCATCACAATCTCTCATAGCTGTGTTTTGGTGTCTGTCGTTTAAAAATGTGCTCTTGCATGACTTTTAGTGGAGGGGTTTCGTGGGTGGTGTGGTTAGGCAACGTCCCTCTCTGCTACTCACAAGTTTCTCCCAAATTCCTCAGGTAAGCACAACCGGTGCATAATAAGTACCTGTGTGTACCGTACCTACGAAGAACTGAACATATTCTGGGACTGTGCCCTTCCGTTTTAAACAAGAATACAATAGGACGACTTTGTAGACAGATTAACAACGAGTTTATTCAGTGAAATCAAAGGGAGATGTTTAATCTATTTTCATCTCCTGAAAAAGATTGAAATAGTTTCTGCCAGAATGACTTAAACCAGTTCCTCCACCTTTAAGCACATCTTTAAAAAGGCACTCAATGGTATGTTTGTGCTGTAAATGTGGGAGCAAGTCAGAAAATGTCCAGCTTCTCTTACTTTATAGCTCCCTGACAAACAATGAAAACAGATAAAAGCTGTTTTTATTTAAAGATCCATTTTCACAGAAGGAGCTTTAATTCATTTTCGGGGCTGCCTGTATTTTATGGCACTATTTATTGCTTCTATTGATGCTCCCATTTGCACGGCTCTGCTAAATGATTCCCTTTGCACTAAGCACCGAATGGCCATCGACAACGTTGTCTCCTGACACCCGATGTACGTTTTTTCCAAATAGGATAAGCAGTGATAGTGAAGGTATGATAATAAAGTAAATCCTGTGTCTTGCATTTAAATCTGTGCTGGAATATATGTTGTTTGCATTTAACGATAACAGATGGATGGATGTTTCTATTTTCTTTATTCCATATAGTGCCCTGAAACTCAATTTATAGTTGACAGATGTTTTATTTCAGATTAATTGCAATATTGAATGCAGCATTACACCAAACATTGAATGAAATGCCATGGAGAACCATAAGGCTCTTAATAGCCTTCTACATTTGATATTTCACTATTATAAGGGCAAATTTAGTTTTATTGTTTTGCCCCCTCAAGTCTTCAGGGTGTCCAGGCCTTTCATTTTATTTATTTGAAGGTACCACACACTAAAGGTGCTTAAACAAATATAATTGATCATGTCAATTCTAAATGAAAGTCTTTAAATCATATTGAATATGTAGAACATTTCCTTCTTTGAAGATGGATAGATGAGGGGAGATGTAATCTGAAGTCATTTAAAGTTAAGTCTGAAACATTGGGGGAAATTAGAAGGTTCCAAAATCCTGCTCTCAGTTATATCTTTAATGGAACACTTAGAGCAATGCATCAAATGCATTAACACTGTTGAAAATAAATTTCACATATACTGCTGCCAGCCGCACAGATTGACTGTGATTCCTATCGTCTGCTTCCACCTACTGGATCAAAGAGTTGTGTACAATATTTTGCTGTACAGTATTTCTTAGTTTGTCCGTTTTTTTATTTTTTTTATTCCTAAAATGAAGTATATTGGAAGGGATTTGTATTTACTTTTGCAGATATTTTCATTCATAAAATCAAATTACATTAAACAATATTAAAGTGGAGACGCGTTTGATAACCCAACAAGTCGCGGGGCGGCTCCCTACGTCACCGGAAACAGGAAGAGAATGAATGAAACAAGGTTGATATGTAATCACTAACACCGTGCAGCTGGTCCGAGGTCACAGTGAGTGGCTTATTGACTTCAAGTATATTTTGTTTTTAGAGTTGACAGCTTAACTTAAACCCACTCATTTACGTGCTGACGCGAGCTAAAAACTACTAGCTTAATGTGAGGTGTAGCACCAGAAGAAGAAAGCAGAAAGCGTCACTTTTTTAAACTTTAACGGCGCTTTTGCACTCAGGGTTAGCCACATCGTGGCTAAAAACACATTTTTAAAAGTTGACATGCAATGTAACGTCCTTGTTTTACTTTGGTACTTTTTGTAATTATTGTCATTGTTATTCGTGTTTTTCCACGTAGAAGCCCCACTTGGGTCCCAAAATGAGGAGGCTTGGACTGTGTCTTCTCCGCCATATGTCCAGTGGCTCAATTGCTGTCCCCCCAGTCACAAGAACATGCTGCCTTCATCGAGGTGGATTTACAGCTTCCCCCCAGTGCTACAGGGGCACCGTGCCGGGTCACAGCTGGCACCACTGGAGGGGTGTGAGTGGCTCCGCTGGCAGCCGGCAGATGCACCCACAGGACCTGAGCGGGCCGGAGCAGAGGCTGCTGCACAAGCTGTATGAGGGGCTGATCTCAGGACAGCGGGCGTCTCTGGCCGAGTCCATCACCCTGGTGGAGACCCAGCATCCCAGAAAGAAAGAGCTGGCCCAGGTGCTGCTGCAGAGGGTGCTGGCGTACAGAAGGGAGCAGGAGAGTCGGAATGGAGGGAAGCCGATGGCCTTCAGAGTGGGTGTGTGGATAGAGTTGAAAAGAACATGGAGAAGGGTGTTTTATTAAGGCAGCCTATTACCACGAGGAGCAGGATGCTCTTTAGTGGAGGTGTAGGCAGATACATTCATTGCATGGATAAAAAATAATGATAATAATGTCAAGGATACACAGAGTTGGAGTTACTGTTTAAATATCAACTGGATCTTCAGTTTGTCTGGATGCATTTTTAACTTGGAAATCTATAACTAACAATCACGTCTATAAAAAAGATAAATATATGATCCATGGTCAGATTATGCCATGGATGGGATAGGTTTCATATCAGAGTAACATACCTGGATCTTGATTTATATAATCTGGTATTTTTTGGAATCAATAATGTCATTATTTTTTGTTTCTCAAAAGAGTTTGTGTGGTAGTAGTCATTGATAAATAAGGTTTAAGGAAGGACTTCTTTATCGTCTCTTGTTGATGATTGTATCTTTCTAACTCCTCCCCAGGTCTATCTGGTCCTCCTGGAGCTGGGAAGTCATCCTTCATCGAGGTTGTGGGAAAGATGTTGACAGAGCGTGGGCATAAATTGGCGGTTCTGGCTGTCGACCCATCTTCCTGCACCACAGGAGGTAAGGTCTGAGCTCATTTACCCCAGATACGACAAGGAAAATGAGTCTTTATTATCCACTTTGGACCACATTGTGGCTCTTTATTTGAAGTTGTCACGTAGTATTTCAGATTATTGCTTTTCTGTGTCGCAGGGTCTCTGCTGGGCGATAAAACCCGGATGACTGAGCTCTCGAGAGACATGAATGCTTTCATCAGGCCGTCACCGGCCTCGGGAACTCTGGGCGGTGTCACCCGAACAACCAATGAGGCCATCGTCCTCTGTGAGGGGGCAGGATATGACATTGTGTTTGTGGAGACTGTCGGTAAGAATGCCATTTAGACGGCGACCCTTTTCTCACCATGTTCAGCTGTCAGCTTTCATGTTCATTCAGTTTGGTTTGGGTGGATGTGAGAATCACACAGTTCTTTTTCTGTCAAACAGAAAGACCATAGCTCCAGCATTACTTTACAAGTTCTGGCCTTTGATTGTGCTGTAATAGTTTGTCACAGATTGTATTTGCTGGAACTCCCACTCCACACCCTCTGATCTCCAGTGGTACCGACACTATTTACTCAGAGTGACGCCCACGTCTCAGCTGCTGAAAAAGTCCTAAACAAAATCTTTGTTTTGAGGATTCCTTACATAATATTATAATAGCCACTGTGGGAGGGGCTTGTGCTTTTTATATTAGATGAGGGGACTTTGTGATCATTGTTGTTTATATTTAGCTGACTGATTGATTTGTGATTCAGTGTCATTCTGCCTTGCTGTGATGGGTGAAATATGGTGTTTTTCCAGGTGTTGGCCAGTCAGAATTTGCTGTGGCAGACATGGTTGACATGTTTGTGCTCCTGATTCCACCAGCAGGTGGCGATGAACTCCAGGTCAGTGAAGCTCAATCCGAATTCAAACAAAGTAGTTATGTATGCCTTTTGGGATGAAAATGAATTCCTTGGTTGGGTCATGGGTTCCAGGGTCATTGTAACATCATATTTCCAAGAGGATCGCACTGTATGATGGCATGATTGTTTACACAAGAATGCAATATATCTTCACACCTATTGTGTGAATATATGACGTGAGAATAAGATTATATTGGATAAGAAAATTAGTTTAAACCTGCCCAACCCAAAATATTTAGCGGAGCACATCTTTAGTCTCTATTTTCCAGAGTTTGACAGGAATCATGAAAGCCATTAAATTAATGGCTTCTTGTCAGTATTGTTGTTTATTGGTGTGAATAAGGCGGGACAGTACTGATAGTAGCTGAAGAGGCGTTTGTTGCCCCTGTGTTTTACTCTGGAAGCACTTCCCCATTAAAATGATAATATGATCTAGTGTAATTTCTAAATGGATTCTCATACATATATTGTCCAAACATCCATCCATCCATTTGTGATCCAAGTAGGGTCACAGGGAGGTTGTCATTGGGCGAGAGGCATGGTACACGAGACGCACAACCCATGCTCAACTTAGAGTCACCTAATTTCCTAACATGGATGTTTTTGGTCAGGAGTCAGAATACCCAGAGAGAACATAGAAACTCCATATTTCATATGGACCAGAACAGAACCAAGTATAGCTTTTGTAGCTTCAGATATGTTGTCACAGAAGTTTAATGACTTCTAAGTTAGGGAATTGGGTGTTTTTATTATGGACATGAAACCAAAGTCAGACATTTTGACATAGTCACAAGGACCAAAAGACAAGGAAAAATGAATACTTCAATGAAACTTGAATAGCCGGAAATTATAAAATGTCATTGCACTGAAGACCTCTCTGGTGTTGAACAGTCCGGCCTTTTATCAAGTAAAACCCTGTCTGTCCTGAATAACACTCCTGCTTCTTAACTGAAAAACATTCAAATAGAGTGGAATATAATCTCTCCAAATTGCTGCCCTGTTGGACTCGGCTCAGGTTACGTATCAGGGTACACTGAAATTGTCATCATATGGGAATATCATGCTGCTTAGTGCAGGTCATCCTCTGCTAAAAGATAGAAAACAGTTTGTTTTTAGTTGTTTTTAATAGATGTAATCAGTTGATGATGGTGTGATGGGCACTGACATAAACCAGCAAGAACCCATAGTGCTGAATTTAGCCTCTTTTATTCACATATCTTCCTGAATAATTTTCCCTTTGAGAACATTTTAGAAGCTGGAGCTTGGTGTGGTTTTCCTTTAGAATAAAAAGAGAAAGAAAACCTTATCTGTTTTTGCAATTTCAAATGGGGACTGGATAGAGTTTTAGAAGGGAACTCTTTGGCTGGAAACCAGACTTATATCCCTCCATCACTGTACACAGATCTATCAAGGAGATTAAGCGTCTAGACATCAGATTTATTTGAAGTGTTTAGTACAGTTAGTGGCCCTCTCTCCTAATGCCCAAATCTCTGTCCAGGGTATCAAAAGGGGCATCATCGAAAGGGCAGAACTGGTGGTGGTGACCAAATCAGATGGAGACCTGGTGGTGCCGGCCAGGAGGATCCAGGCTGAGTACACCAGCGCGCTGAAGCTGCTGAGGAGGACGTCAAAGTCCTGGAACCCTAAGGTGTGTGTGCTGTGCGTAAGGCTGTGATGGCTGAAATCTGTGTTTACACAGTGCAGTGAGGGGGGGGGGTCAGCTTCAACACGATGAAGCGCTTAAAGGCATAGATGACCAAGTGTTTAGGCTTTGACTCACAGAGTATCGCACCGTTCCACTCAGAGGTCAGCTGACCCAGGATGAGAAGCGTAAAAGATGGCGAGGGCGGTGCTGATGATGTCATCATCGCATCATATTTTCTGTACTGCAGCGGCTCACCCACCCTGCATAGCCCACCTCACCTCCAGCTTAGCCTTCTCCCTTTGTTTTCTGATCCCGGTGCAGAGTCTGCCTACTGGGCAAGCTGCCAGGATAAACCCCCACTCCTCACCCCCCCTCCCCTCCGACGCTCTGCATACTCGGTTGCTGTGTCACGCTTTTTACTGATTAGAAGCCTCCACACTCTCATAAAAGCTGAAGGGCTTCTCGTATAGTTGCTTTTATTCATTCCTTTCTCTCTTTTTTTCTTACGCGTGTTTGAGCACGATCAGTCGCTTTCCTTTTCTTGACGCTCTCTTCCTGTCTTACAGACTTTGTATGAAATCTTCTGTGCAATACGCATTGAACTAATATGAACTTTAGACTAATAGTTTCAAACAACTAATTCAGAAAATCATTTAATCAGTATTATACCATTTTGGGTCATTTAAAGAGGTTGTTTGCTGTCCGGTCCCCTTACTAAAGCTCAGAGGTCAATTTAATCAAGGCACCAGATGCGAATAAAGACTTCATTTAAAATGGACGTCTTCATCAGCATGAAAACTAAAACTAAACTAAATAAAATCCTGACTCATTTAAGAATCTTTTTGCTGTATGAAAAGGAAACAAACCAAAATATATTTTGTTTAAGAAGAAAGATTTTGCCCTGCACTTTTATATGATTCACTTTTATTCAAAAGTGTGTTTCCTGTTGAGAATACACAGTAAATCTAATCAAACTTTAATAGGTATCACTGCGTGATTAACAGCATTTATTGATATAGATTTAAGCTGCACGCTGAACTGAGAGTAACAATGAGTCCCTGTTTTTCTTAGCAAATATCTTGTCCTGGAAGTCAATCAGAGAAGCAGTGGTGTGAAATTACGGGCTCCTCCAAATGGCAGTGAAAATGTATTGTGTTGTCGGCTCATTTTGCCACTTGAGCCCTGGGCAGTAGAAGAAACAGGGCTGATTCTATTAACAATCCCTTCTTATGAGAAAGAAACAGCCCTGAGCTGTAAAACAGGGTTTTGTTTCTTTATCGTAAATTATACTAATAAAACGTATGCATGTTTTAAGACTAACGCTACTAAGCATGCTTGTTTTGTGGTGTAAGTCTTAAAACACCCAAGGAGGGGAAAAGGACAGATACTTAAAGAGCAAAAACACTAAGGGACGGCTGGCAGGTTTAAGGAGTGAGGTTTATTATAAACTAGAAAACATCAAGAGGGAACAGTGGGCGCATTAACAAATGTAACAACGATATAAAGAAACAAACAAAAAAAACAAGGAAAACATTCTGAAGCGCTCTGATAATTATGTTTTGAAAACGTTTTGAAAGGAGATGGGGGAAGCAGGTAGGTACCCAATTAGATGTTTACCATGACTGTTTGTTAAGAGAAAGTTTCAGTTCCGTTATCCATGTCATCTTTGACTTTTCCTCATTTGTCTGTCTTTTTACTCAAGTGTGATGATGTAATAAAAAGCAGAAATGTACATTTTCCAAAACACTTTTCAAAGACTGAAACCTAAGAGAAAAAACTATGATTGGAATTATTATTATTTTTTTCCTTTTATGAAAAGTCTGTTTTATATAACACATCCTCCTTGACGGGTGAAGGGCGTTCAGATCTTTTGGTTTGTTCCACACTGAAGACGTGGCACATTAATCAACCCGGGCATTTAAAAAACATTATAATAAATGTGTCCGTCTTCACTCAGCAGCACCAAAAAATCAACTGGAGACCCGGTCAACAAAAACAGAAAGATTCTGCAAATTCCCTGAGAGTCATAAACATCCATCCATCTTTCTTTCTAAACTCTCCTAATCCGGTTTAGGGCTGTGAGGGGCCCGGCTGCCACTGGGCAAGGGGCGGCGTACACCCGTACGGGTCGCCAATCCATCATGGGGTCGACACAGAGACAAACAGCCACACATGCTCTCACGGAGCCATAAAAATAACACAATCAAATTTAAGTACCACTGAATGAGTCAACCCATAGCAGAAGTGCAGATCAGCAGATTTTTACCAACATATTGTCCTTTAATGGATGGCTGACGGTATGGATGCAGGCTGGGACCAGACCCTGGACATTATATGCTGACTTTCTGCTGTGTCAGGACCATTCCACGTTTATTTTTGGCTTGAGAAATGATGCATTTTACTGAAATTATGTATCATACTCATCTACCGCTATCGTGGTTTTCTTGAGGTGGCGTGATAAAGTATGAATGTGCGAGTGCTCTGGTTTAACCGAAGCCTTGTCTACTCAGTGTTCGGCTTTTAAGTTGACGCATCCAATCCCCACCTCCCCCCCAAACCCCTTCCTCAGGTGGTGCGGGCCTCCTCGCAAACCTTTGAGGGCATCCCAGAGGTCTGGGCTAAGATGGAGTCGTACAGGGACACCATGCTGGCCAGCGGCGAACTGCAGGGCCGGCGAAGGGCCCAGCAGAGGGTCTGGATGTGGAGTCTGATCCAAGAGAGCGTCCTCCGCCACTTCCAAACCCACCTGAGTGTCAGGGAGGCTCTTCCTCGCCTTGAAGAGAAGGTCACCAGAGGAGTCATCTCTCCCGGACTGGCCGCTGACCTGCTTCTCAAAGCCTTCACCGCATCGTCGACGTGATCGCTGAAGCTGCACGTTTTGGAGGAGCAGTGCCTCGCGGCGGACACGGGCCGCCGAGTGCCAACACACCCAGGACCAGACATGAGACCAAAACAAAGCTGTACTAGTCTGTTTTATAGTCGGACAAAGCTGAGATGGAAGGCAGCCATCTGCATGAGTCTCTGTCTAAGTGATTTTATCCAAATAACAAGAAGAGAGTGCGGACAGTTGTCTATTCCCAAACTTGTATTTGTGCTGTGAGATATGAAGTGCCCCCTAATCATTTGCCGAAATGCAGATTCTCGGTTTGCCTTCTCATAGAAGCACGACAGACCTTCCTGAACTGTTGTAATGAGGTGTTTAAAGCTGGTTTTTAAAGGTCACACTATTGCGATAGAGGATTACTTTGTTTGCACAACTCAATTTTACAAACGGAGTGTTCAAACTGTGAAGCAGTGACTCGTTCACACCACAGCGCCACCTGAACACCTGAAATAAAACGTTTTAATGATACCTCCTTTCCATGCAAGACATTTTAATCTTGAAAACGAAAATACAAATATTTCTGAGTGGCATCACAGAAAAGAAAAGTGACCGGTCCTTAGCAGGTCTCTGCAAAACGGTACATCTGTCAGCTCAGGCGGCCGCACTTGTCCTCCTCGTGTTTGCTTGCGGAATGAAAAAAAGTGTGTGTGATTAATGTCGCCTCTACGAATATTAGTCTGGAGATTTGTCAGAGCTTAAATGAAATTTCTGTTCTTGTCTCTGGAGCCACAGATGTCAGTGTTGGCCCTCATCTGAATGAGTTGGCTGCGTGGTTGCACTTTAATAATTTCAGAATTAACTTCACAATGCACCTGGACACCAGCAGAGAACCCAAGGCAAAAGAGAACTCAGGCGCTGGTAATTTTCAGCGACACCGCTGCACTCGGTTAAAGAGACGGGCAGCTCCTATCACAGCGAAATCACACTGCAGTGATGTATCAAAATTAGATTTCCCAACCACAGAAAATATATTAAACTGTGCGAAGCAGGACCTTATGAGCTCGACCAAATTGTGAGTTAACTTTAGATTAACTTTTAGGAAAAAGGGACATCTGAAGACTGTTTTATTAAAACTATGAAAAAGGCTGCAACCAGTAAATGTAGGGCAATTCTACTTAGTTTTTAAACGATGCATGAATAATCAAATACGACTGAATAATCAGCTCAACAGTGCTAGCAGTAAATCGGTGGGAGAAATTATTGAAGTGTTGATTGTGTTCAGTTTTATTGTACCAGTTTCTTTATTCTACACCACATTCCAGGCTTTTCAAAGATGGAAAAAAAGTATACATGACTAACAAATAAAAATAACGTTCAATATGTGGACATTCATCTTAGCATGAATATACCAAATTTTCCAACCAGTTTAGGACTAAATGATTTTTAACTTTCTTTTTCTAAATCCGGACTCGTGACAGTTTAGAATTAATGAAGTTGTAACTTTTCGTTCGACCTTTTTTAGGTAAGGTTTACCATTTCAACCACTAGATGTCTCCCAAATACCACTGGCTTTGGATTCATTACCCTTATAACGGGCACCTCGCATCAGCTGCCCTCCCCTTCTCACGCCCCCGCCCCCTGCCCTCCATTCATTCTTCATGGAGGTTGCCTAGGGTGCCAGGTCACTCGGGGGTGAGGACATCAACAGCTGCCACTTTCCTGCAGCACTGTAACAGCTCTGTGAACCGAACCCCCCACCTCGGCTACATCGATTCTCACTGTAAAACAGACGGGAGCGTTGCCTCCAACTGAAACAGAGCAGGAGGGCTGAGACTGGGACCGAACAGCTTCCTTTCCTCGGCCCCTCCATCTGAGGGTGGCTCGTTTCTGACGGGGCGGGGAAAAAAAAAATCAGGTGAATTAAGTACTTGTGCGTCCTTGTCCTTGCCAGTCTGCTTTGGAAATACTGAGTCTGATCCACCCCCCGACCGCTGGACGGGCTCCCAGGTCGCTGCTCGTTTGCTCCCGCCTGCATATGAGAGGAAGAATGCCCCTTGAATGCAGATGGATTCATTAGGTCTGAGTAACTGCCTTCTCCTCCATCATGCTGACACAAACACATACACACTGTAACTATTCTGGCTTTGCAGAAGGGAACAGTAAGTTCTGCAGCTCTAAAAGCACACACACACACACAGAGACACACACTGGCGTGTGCATATACACTCAGTTGTCTCCAGTGTAAACAACACCATGCGGTTTCACTAAGGAAGATTAACTCAAATGCAGCTGACTATTGCTCGGCCATCTTAGCCTAAACACAGTCCCTGTGCACATGTGTTCAGCATTTTGCTGGATCTTTTGAATGTAAGCAGAGGGTAGAGGCTGGCTCTTTGATGACGCTCTTTTTCTAATGTTTGATGGAGTGGCTCAGATTGACAGGATGTCTTTTGTGTCAGCGGTATGCGGTCTAAATGATGCCCTGATGCTGTTTTAATTAAGGCAAAAAAGCTCAGCTTTTCCCCTCACAAAATCTGGAGCGAGCGTAGGAAAAAGGGGCTGCTAACGACGGCAGCAGAGCAGGCGTGTCACGGCGTGGACGGCGATCTGCGTTCCTCCTCGCCCTGGTTGTATCAGTGTTCGAGTTTCGTTGAGTCTTCTCAGATCAGAGACTGAGGGAAGCTTGACACAGAGGGAAATGTCACACTGACTCTGCTACCTGGCTGATTTGGAATCCGTGTGTGTGTGTGTGTGTGTGTGTGACAACCGGTCATGGGCTGCTGATCAGCAAACCCTCAGCCGCCCCTGCTGTGTTTGCTCTACTCCCCCCCCCCACACACACTCGCATAGCGTCACACTCACCCATCCTCCTCCTTTTACACACACGAGCACCCGTGCGGCTCTCCACCTACACATCCTGCACATACGCACCAGCCCTCCGCCCCCCTTTCACACACACACACACACACTCACACACACACACTCACACACACAGCCTGCCTCGTTGCCCACCCAGCCGCTCTGACTCGGCTGGCTGCGCCACCGTCCCCCTGTTGTGACAGATGAGTGTGTGAGAAGCATTTCTTCCAAGCTGGGACTCACTTTCAAGACAGCCAGAAAACGATGTAGTGAGCCACTCGCTAATGGGGCTGGAGAGCTGCAGCCAGACTCTGAGCATGTGTGTGAGTGTGTGTGTGTGTGTGTGTGGATGTAGCACCCCACTCATTATGCTGCTCTGATGGGTCACTGTGCAGCCTCTTTATAAGAAGACCCTTATGGCGACATGTCTTATTATATCAGCCGCTGAGATGGATGTTAATACCAGGCCGCGGCGTGCATGCTGTGTGCTCTCTAGCCCGTAGAGTGATGAGACGCGGTCGGTGTTCAAAGTGCATCTCATTGCGCGGGCTAATTCTGTTTAACCTGGTGAAGTCTGCTGGATGGTCTCGGTCAGAATGCCCCCAGGGAGACCAGAATGCACCTCTGCTTTATTACACACCTGAGGAGGCTCCGTCTCCCGCACACACACACGCGCGCTCCGCTGTTTGCTGTGTGTAATTTACAGGCCAGCCTGTGGGCAAGGCCTTCATCTGCACGCAGGCGCGAATAGAGCCTTGGCGCCAGTAATTGGACTTTAGAACAGATTGGGGAACTTGATTGACCCCCGGTAATGGATTTGAGTGAATAATTATTTGTAGTTATGGTTGGAAGATGATATCAGGGAGAGAGAGACCGATCCCACCAGTGTGACTCACCCCTGCCGCCAGAGCAGAGCGCTGCCAGCACTCAATTAATGAAATCCAGCTGCTCGGGCTCCCCACGTGTAGGAGCTGATCAAAAAACACACACAGGGGTCTGGTCAGAACGAGGGTTATCTTCACCCAGCCTCTCTCTTTCTCTACACAACTGGCCGCCCGTGGCCCTTCACAATAGTGATTAGAAAATCCTCTCCACTCCAGGTACAAGACATTAACGCTGATGATGTGTCCATTATTTTTTAACTGCCCGTGGCAGTGCTCGGCACAGCCTACGGCGGCCATGTTAATGAGACCTCTCAAGATGGCAGGCAGCGCCTCCTCAGGACATAAAATGCAATCACTCTTAATCCAACACTTTAATTGCCGGCCGAGACCGCCTGAGTGAATCCGGCTCCTCGGTCTCTGCAGGCGACCGACGGCGCTCCGATATCGCGCTCGCTAAGCTAAAACCGGGTCCCAAAACAGATGGAACGCGATGCCAGGCGATCCGCCTCGTTACACCCCAGGCTCGTTTTCCCCGTTTGAGGGCGAGCGATAGAGACAGAGATGAGAGATTTCCTCCTGTACTCCCTCACTTCCTTTATTTGTCATTTCTAGCCCTCTGAAGACGCTCGGTGGGAGAATGCCGCACTCCACTCTCTACACATTGATTGACCCACTTACGCCCATGTCATAATTCTCACTACGGTAAACATTTATGTACTGCTTTCCCATCACTCTCCAGCCTCCATGAATCCTGCTGTCATATGTCCCCGCAACCCACCCAGCTCCTCTCCCCCTCTCCTCCTCCTCCTCCTCCCTCTGACCCCTCATCGCCCCCTTGCCAGTCCGTATTATTTCTGGCTAACCGGTGGCCGGTCGGGCCGGGGCTGAGGGGATCCTGGCAGCCTGTGTTTGGACAGGTATCACTGGGCCACACACTCTCCGCGGTAACATGCGGAGGTCAGCCTGTCATACCTGTCCACAACTCATCTGCGCGCACACACACACACACACACGCACAAATGCCATGATTCACCACGTATGGATGAATGCCAGACACTCTGGCCGCGATCTTAGATTCAGAAAAAGCAAGCCGTGAGGCACAGAGATGTAGTACAACCCTCCTCGCTATGTTCCTTTGTGATCCGTCTTTTATTCTTTCTTTTTTCTGGCCCCCCCCTAAAGGTTTTAGTGTAGAAACGCTGTAGTTGTTGATGTTTATCACAGAGGAGGAGGATTGAACTTAATGGTGACCATTAACTATTGCTGGCCCCCCCTTGGCACGGCCTGCTCCTCGTGTTAATGACCATGCACAGTTACAGACCAGAGTCCACTCACATTAGACCCTCACAGCAGCTCTTAGACCATCTGCTCCCACCATAATTCTTTAGTTCCTTCATTTTTCTTTGGTTTTGCATTGTTTTTGGCCTGTAAGAGGAGAAGCCATATAATAAGTGGTTTCATTCATAACCATTTTAATGAGAGTGCATCATCAAAGGGTCCTAAACCCTCACAATGTTTAGTTTAACTCCAGTGGCTCACACTCAGCTCATGGAGTACAAAGTTTGTAATGGGAATGGTCATCCACTACCCCAACCCAACGAGCTCGGTCCGACCCGGACAAGATGGCGGCGCGGCAGCAGTCCATCAGCGGTTATTGTAAGCGTGGCATGTTCCTGGCCTCCCGTCTGATTCGGGGCCACACCACCAGTGCCTGCGAGGTCCAAGGGGCGGCACGGCTTTGTCACGCCAGGTTGACATTTCAGGGAGGCCTGCCAGGACACCGCTGCACATTTCAACCTCGCAGACAAGTGGCGTGGGAGCGAACGTGTCAACTCGGCCAGATGGGCGGGCGTCAGTGCCAACTGCGCTGGACCGTGCACCGGACCACTGGCCTGACAACCGCCAAGCCAGCCAGACGTGGCGCTTCCTGGCACACGGTAGAGAGGGGGGGGCGGGTGTGTCCCCCCAGCAGCGAGCTCAGGCAACGCCGAGGGCCGGTGCAGTTTTTGAGCTGGTCAGACCGAAAAAGAGATCAAAAGCATGGCTGTTCATTTAACACAGTTACTCAGTTTACCAC